GTGCTGACAACACCAAGTCAAGGGTTAAGATCCCCTTACTGGTCATCTTTTTAAAAAAAAAAAAAAAAAAAAAAATCCTAGCATTGATTAGCATTCTACCAAAGGTACATGTGCTTTCTGAGATTTATTAACAGAATGAAATTAGTTTGTAATTATTATTATGGAATGATTTTATTCATATTTCTAGCTTTCTGCTGTGTTGTTATTTTGTTTATAAACTAGCAAACATTGTGTATTTCATATATAAGCCAAATAAATTTACTGCTCTACAGGTACCTGCTAAGTCAAAATATGCTGGAAGATTGTATCCTATACTTGTGGACATGCCACTATCCTTGTACATGATAGGCCCCAGTTTGCTTTTTCATGTACATCCACACAGCATCTGGAGTGCTGATATATATTGTCTAGCATGCTTCCAGAAGCTTTGCAGTATAGGTTTAACCTAGGCTGTGGTTACACTTTGTATGAGTTTTCTGTTGCTGCTATAATAACAAATTAGCACAAATGTGGTGACTTAAAAACAACACAGATTGATTATCTCACGGTTCTTTGGGTCAGATGTCCTGCTTAGCTTGCTTGGTGTCTCTGCTCTGGATTTTACAAGGCTCTGGATTTATCAAAGTGTTGACTAACTGGGCTCTTATTTGGAGACTCTCGGAAGTATCTGCTTCCAAGCTCATGTAGGTTGATGGCAGAATCCAATTCCTTGTGGTTGTAGGACTGCTGTCCTTGTTTCCTTGCTGGCTAGAATCATTCTTAGCTTCTAGAGGCCTCGCACCAGTTCTCAGTATCTCAGCACCAGCACCGGTGCAGTGAATCCTTCTCTCCCTTGGAACCTCTCTGACTTCCCCTCCTACCACACCTCTTGTTTCTTCCACTGCATCTCTCTGACTCTAGCCATGGAATTTCTCAGCTTTGGGGGCTCATGTGATTACATTGGGTCTACCCAGACTATCCAGGATAATCTCCCTATTTTAAATCTACAGAGTCTCTTTTCCCACATAACATATTCACAGGATCCGGGGATGAGGGTGTGGACGTCTTTGGGGGTGGCATCCTGCCCATCACACTCTGACTAAATTGCTATGTTTTCTCCACGTGCTACACAGTTGTCCCTGGTTAATGGGTCATGAGCAAGTTATTGGGATAGGTTTGCAGGTTAAGAAATCTAAGTGCTTTGTTACCCTCTTGGAATTATCTTGTCTTCTGTCTGTGTCATTGACTCTCCTTGTTACTGTCAGTGCATGTGCCACTGGCTGCTCTTGTCACTTCTTACTGCTTTATGCTTCTGATCCTCCTTCCCTTTCTCCCATCTAGATGTTTGCCATTTTCTCCTTTTCACTTTCTGTCCTTTCCTCTGCCTGCTTTTCTTATCACTCCTCTGTTCCTCAGAAGTCTGTGTTTATAGCTAGTGCCAATCACTGTGAGCACTCTTTCTCTTCTGGCTAACAGACCAACTATGATTCTTTTTTTGGCACTTTTTAAGAGTTAGATCTCAGCTTCCCTTGCCCACTCATAACTAATCAACTGACCTTACACCTTCAGTGTTTATTTGCTGCTGAGCTGAATACTCCACATTTCTGACAGTTAAATAAGTAGATAAATGAAGAATCACTATATTTTTGCTTTGGTCAAGAATGAGATTTTCTTTCTGCTATAGATACTATCCCCTCTTTAGTTTTCAGATGTAATGTATAAATAACAAACGCGTGTGTCTAAAGGTAAGTTTTATAATGTGCTGCTTTTCCTCAGTTGGTTTAATATGTTACTTTTAGCCAATGGGAAGAAACAGAAAAATTTTTTAAAGTCTACAAATTCAGAACTGTTGTCTCCTCAAGTATTGTTTCTGCCACATGACATCATTTTTAATGGTAGAATAGTATACCACTGTATGAGTCTACCATTGCTTATTTAATGATTCCTCCACAGATGGACGTTTAGATTGTTAACATTTATCACACATATAAAGCGTGCTGTGATGAATGAACATCTGTGCCCAAATTAATGATTATTTCATTTAGATAAATTCCTGGAAATGCAGTTACTTGGTTAAAGTATGCATACATTTTGTTGCTTTTGATATGCATTGCCATATTCCTGTGTAACAATTAGTAGATTCTCTCAAGCAAATGATGACAGTGCTTCTTTTCCTTTAGCAAATGATGACAGTGCTTCTTTTCCTTTAGCAAATGATGACAGTGCTTCTTTTTTCTTTAGTAAATTTTATACTTTAAGACGCGATGAATCATACTGAAAATGTCATAAATCCCAAACCATGTTTACATTCCTGTTACTGTTTTAAAGGTTCTCATCCTCAAGAATTAAAGACTGACACTTTTCCTTTGAAAACAACTTTTGTGTTTTGTCATTTAATTCTTAGAAAATTTGTAGAGAAGCTGCAAAGGAATAGAATTTAGATTTCAGTCATTTTGATTACATATTTCTTTATGATAAAAAATAATGATTAAAAAAAGAGCTTTAGATATCCCTAATTTGAAACTGAGAAAACTTGAGGCCCAGCAGTATTGTTTGAGATGGCTATGACCTAATATTTAAAAAGAAAGTTGGCTCAAAGCAATCTAATGGTTATAAATTATAGACTCACAGTCTTTTAATTGTTGCTGTATACATTTAATTTGCATATAATTAGAAAAATGGTTATCATTCTCTAATATTAACATGTTTAAATTATTATACATTTGTTTTTTACTTTAAAGGGGAAAAGCCTCCATCATAGCCAGAATGATCATTTCCAGAATGATGGAATTGGTAAGTGGAAAAATTAGCCCTATGAAAACTTGCTTTTATGATATGAAATTTACCCCAAATTTCACCATGAGAAAGAGGAGGGTGGGGAGAGGGTCTCTCACAACACATGGACAGATACATGGACAGATGACAGACACACACACACGCAATCACTTTGGAGCCTCAATTAATTCTTTTATTCAACACATCTGGTCTTGTTAATGCATTGATATGTCATTTCTGAAAAGGGGTGATTTTGTAGGTCCTAATGTGCATATCTAGAGATTTTGAGGAAAAACATTCAAGCCTTTTATGCAACATAAGTTTTTTGAAAATATTTGTGTCCTACAAATGTCAGGTCATAACAAGTTTCAAGATAAAGTTATTTAAGTGATTTTAAATGTTGCAGAATTATGCTTTTAAAATAATCGCTTAACCTTCATTTTGTATGTGATTATGTTAGAATTATAAATCAAAACTTTGTTCTAAAGAATTGTATATGTTTTCCTAGTCTTAGAATACTGTTTGCCAGGAGAGTGTGTGTGCGTGTGTGTGTGCATGCATGCGCACGTGTGCTTGCATGCATGCATGGTTTTCTCTCTGGATGGACATATCTTCAGCTCCTCAGAAGACATTTAAAATTATGCTAGTGTATAAAAGGAATACTTTATATAGCCTGAGCTGATTTGGGGGATCATTGTAAAATGGTTATTTTTTTTAATATGCCACACTGATAATTCTTTGATTGTAAGATACCTTATGGCAAACCTGGGAAATATATTTTGCTGTTGGATGATTTAAATTACTTTTATTGAGGTAAATATGTGCAGCTATTGAATGCATCCTTTCTCTGTTTACTTTTCAGTTCAGCCCAATCCTTCCGTACTTATTGGCAATCCTATTAGAGCATATACTCCTCCACCCCCTCTTGGACCTCATCCAAATTTGGGAAAATCTCCAAGTCCTGTTCAAAGAATAGATCCTCACACTGGGACAAGTATTCTTTATGTACCTGCTGTCTATGGAGGGAATGTAGTTATGTCGGTGCCTTTACCTGTAAGTGGGTGTTTGAAATACTTTATATCAAACAAAGTAAAATAAGCTTTACTAAATTAGTGACAATTCCCAATAGAATTCTACCAACCTCTTTTGTTTAACTTTTCAAAGCCCCAAACCTTTTACAGCAACTTTTAAAAAAAAAATTGAAACATAATTGATTATGCATATTTTGGGGGTATCTATACCTGTGTACATTGTGTGAGGATCAAATTAGGGTAATTAGCATGTTCATCATTACAAAAAAAAAAAATTGAAACATAATTGATTATGCATATTTTGGGGGTGTCTATACCTGTGTACATTGTGTGAGGATCAAATTAGGGTAATTAGCATGTTCATCATTACAAAACATAAGCATTCCTTGTGTCCATTAACCAATTTCTCCCTAACCCTCCTCTGTCTCCACCTCTTTTACAACAACTCTTGTCTTTAACCTTCACATTTTGAGATTACCAAAGACATGTGAATTGTTGCTTATAATTTGTTGCAGATTGTCAGTGATTAGGAAGAAATCTGTAAATTGGATGTTTTGATTTAGAAAGCTTTCTTTCTTTTAAAATACTTTTACTGAGGAAAGTTGAGGCTAAAAGTTAATTGAACTAGTAAATTGGTCTCTTGTTTTGTAAAGTGATGTTTTTATTTTGTCTTTTGCTTCTCATACTAGTGTAAGTCACAAACTCTTCCTAAGAAATACAGTTCATTGGAAGAGGCAAAGAGGTTTGGATCAGTCTAGTTCTCTTGGATCTAAATTTATCTGAGAAATTCCATGCCTTGTGAAATCTTACTGCTACTTAAAAACATTACTAAATTCTTTCTAAAACTCTCGATTTTTAGAGGGCTTTCTTTCATCTTATATATAGATCCATTTTTATTTCTTTTGAGATTTTTAAATATTTTGGAAATTTTGTTCATTTGCTGATACACGAATATTTCCAAATTCAGGAGTTTTAGCCTACGAAATAATTTCTTTCATTTAAGTCAAGTACTGTACTGTAATTTCAGGCAGAGGTGATTATTACCAAAGATCCTTGGCACCCCTGCCTGTACCCTAACATGGAAAAATGTTTAGCTGCAGACATGTCTCAGCCATATTGGTCATGATAGTCACAATTATGGCAGCCAAGGAGAACTGTCAGTAAGAAATATGCAACTTATGGCCACTCCTCATAGACTTCAGACTTTAGCTGAGTTATTTCTTCCCAGACAGCCCGGCAACATTATACTTCATCTGCTTTAAATAGTAAGTCCCTTAAGATTTACATTTCAGTGTACTAGGTCAAAGAGGCTTTTATTACATAATATTTCTACGAGTCTGCATTTAACAGTTATAGTAAAATAATAGGGGCAGTAGCTCAGATGTCACTGTATGTATCCCTTTTATGTTAATAGGCAGAGATTATATACCTAGACACACAGGAACAAGTTTTCTGTTTCTGTTTTAAGGTAGAGTTGAATTAATTAAAAGCACTAATTAAAGTAATGACCTGTTTGAATTTTACCTATAATAAACCAACATTAAATGATTTGGTTATTCATGTAAAGCTAAAATACCTATTTTTTGAGTTGAGACTCCTTAGACTAAATTCTTTCTTAACTCTTCTCTTTATTCTCTTATTGAGTCTACTAAACAATGTAACTATGCAGTTATGACAAAAAATATTTCATGGTAAATGACATGCACACTGTACATTCATATTTAGGGGAAATGATTCAAGCCTATAAAATGATTTAATATCTCAAGGAATAATTATCAATTTTGTCTTCAATTTCTTCCTAACCTGAATAATGATCCATTTTCACTTACACACTAAAGATTCAGGAAGCCATATATATTTTTTTTTTTTCCTTTTTTGTTTTTTTTCGTGACCGGCAACGGATCACAACCCTCAGTGTCGCGCCCGTACCGGACCGGCAACGGAATCGCAACCCTCGATGTTGCTCCCGCACCTCGCTCAGACAGTGAGCGGCCGGTCTGTATGTGGGATCCGAACCCTTGGCGGGAGCGCTGCCGCGCTTCCCAAGCGGCGCACTGTAGCAGTGCGCCACCCGGCCGGCCAGGAAGCCATATTTTTGGTAAATTAAGACACAGCAATAATTCTACCAATTGCTACTATTAGCACTGATTTTGTAGTTAACTCATTTTGACAGATTAACATCTCTCTGTGTGTATTTGCTTTTTCCTAATCAAAAGCACTAAAGCAGTTTGCTTTCCAAAATATACTTAATGCAATTATTTT